CTCCGCTGACTCCAAGGTAGGGCAGCGTGGCAGGGGGGAACTGCAGAGGAGAAACAGCGCAGGCAAGCCTGCTTGCTTGTTGCCCCTTATATTCCATCCGGGCTAACAGGCTTCTGGGTGCTGCTACCCAGAAGAACTATGATTTCAATCAGTGGACTAATTTAGGGCTAGGGTCAGGGTTATGGCTATTTTAGTGGGGATGGAATCATTATGGTAGGGCTTCATATGTGCTGTACAGCCATTCCTCTACCTTCTCTCCTGAAGCTTAAGCCTGCTTTTTATTTACGTTGCTTGTCTTCTCACTGAATTGCATATATTGTTGTATAGAATGGGTAAAAGCTCTTTATCAGATGTCATTTGCATATCTCTTCCCCAGTCGCTGGCTTGCCTTTTTATCATCTTATTGGTGGTTTTTGGAGCACAAAATTTTGAAAAGGTTTACCAAGTTTTTCTTTTATAGAATGTGCTTTTAGTACTCTGCTGTTATGGTTTGGGTATTTGTAGCACCCCCCCCCCCCACAAGTTTCATGTGATTGAATACTTGGTCCTCAGGGTGGCAGTACAGTGTAAGAAAGGCAGGGCCTAGTGAGCAGTCCTTAGGCCAGTGGGACGGATTCTTGGAACGTGGTTCTCAGGCTATCTCCTGAATTCTTCTAGAGGGTGGTGAGTACAGGAGCAAGCCCAACCCTACTTAGCTTTGTCTGCTTCTGACTCTGAGATGCGCTGACTTCCTACTGCAATGCTATCAATACCATGAGGCTATGTGGCCCAAAGGTAGCTCTCTCAGCTTTCACAACCCTGAGCTAAATTTTTTTTTCTTAATATGTACACTATATTAGGTATTTCATAATCTCGACTAAAAGTTAATACTTAAGAATTCTTTAGGGCTGGGGCTATAGCTCAGTGGCACAACTTGCCTGGCAAGTGCAAGGTCATTAGTTTGATTCCCGGTACCTGCCCCCCGCCACGTACACATACAAACAAAGAATTAATTTATTTTTTGTATTTAGTACAGGGCCTACAGGGTCTACAGGGTCTCATTACATAGACTGGACTCGTAGTGATTCTCCTGTTTTCAGGCTCCCAAAGAGCTGGGATTACAGGCATGTGCCACCATGCAGAGTCTCAAGCGCAGTCTCAGTATGCCCTGGGGGTGGGACTAGCATGGCAGGCCGGGGATCAAACCCCGGTCCCTGTGTCTGCCTAAGCAGGCGCTCTAACCAAGATATTTAGATGACTACATTTAATGGAATTGGATTAAGGATTATCTTTCTTTTCTCTTTATTGTCCTCTTTATTTGAAAATTTTATTGGCTTTTTGGCTATCTATATTTTTAAAGTAAGTGTTTTAGGAATTACAATTCAAATACCTCATTGTCCTTGGTTTCCTTAGTATTACTATTGTACTATTATGTACATAAAATCAGTGGGATAAGTTTTCAGTACTGTAAATCTCTCTCTCTCTCTCTCTCTATATATATATATATACTAAAAATTTGAGCTGGGGGAATCAGTTCAGTGGTAGAACACTTGCCTAGCAAGCATGAAGCCTTGTATTCATCCCCCAGTACTGGGAAGAACAAACCCTATGAAGTGATATTACCATTTTTATGTTGTACAATTACAAATTTGTCAAGGAATTTAAGAGACCAAAAGCCAGATGTGGTAGTATATGCCTATAATCCCAACACTTGAGAGGCTGAGGAAGGACTGAGATGAGTCTAAAACCAGTCTGGGCTACATAAATGAGTTTAAGGCCAGCCTGAATTACATAATAAGACCCTATCAGATGGGGGGTGGGAGGGGGGGGGGAAGAGAGAGAGAGAGAGAGAGAAACCAACAAAGCAATGTTTTAATTAGCCAGCTATTTAACTGCTCTTCCAAAGCTGAAGGAATCATTTTTCACCAGCTCGAGGAATTTCCTTTAGTGTGTCTTATAGAGCAAGTTTGCTATAAATTCATTTTCTTTATCTCAAAATGTCTTTATTTTTTACCTTCATCCCTAAAGAATATTTCCACTGGGTACAGCGTAATGGGTTAATAGATCTTTTCTTTCAACATGCTAAAAATGTTTCCACTGAATCCTTTTCTTCACAGGTTATGATGAAAAATTCATGCTATTCAAATATTTATTCCTCTATAGGTAAATATGTAATTTTTCTTTTGTAGTTTTTAATATATTGTTCCTCCAGCAATTACTTTCTTATTAGGAGATAGACAGCTTTGGTTTTCAGCAGTTTATGATGTATGCAGCTATGGGTTAAAACCACTTTTTTTCAGGTTTGGTTTTAACTTTGTCCTTTCCGCAGTTTGCTGTTTCTCTTGCATGTATAAGTCTGTACCCTTTGCCAAATTTGGGGAGTTTCAGTGATCATTTCTTCAAGTATCTTTTTTGCTATACTCTCTTCAATTTTCCTGGATCTTCAACTATAAATGTTATTTATTCCTTCTGATATTACCCTGAAGGTCTCTGAGGCTCTGTGCTTTTGTCTCTTCTTCAAATTGGATGATTTTTATTACTCAGCCTTTAAGTTCACTGACTCTCTCTGCTGTCAACTCCAACTGAATCAATTCAATGAGTTTATTTTAGACACTGTATTTCCAAGTCATAAAATTTTATCTTAATTTCTCTTACTGAGAATTCCTGATAATTCTAACATTTGGGTCATCTTGGGGTTGTCTTTCTCTTGAGAACTGGCCACATCTTTGTGGGGTTTGTTTTTTATACTTTGTGGTGTCAGAACTGAACCTGGGGGTACTGCGCATGCTTGGCGAGTGCTCTATCGCTGAGCTACATCCCAATCCCTTTCTTGTTCTTCATATCAACTAAATTTCAATTTTATACTAGACATTATAAATGTTAGCTTGTATAGAATGGGTACTTTTACAATACTTTGGAGAATGCTGATGGTTTAGCAGACATGCTAAATAACAGACACACTGTGGGTTTTTGTGTGTGTGTTTTGTATTTAACTGACAATGTTTACCCTCTCGGTTTAGTTCTCTAGTAAGTTTTTCATGTGCTGGTTTTTATTTCTACCATGCCTGTAACTCAAGAGTTAAGCTGAGACTTGTGTGGGATTTTCTTTAAACTCTTCAACTCAGAGAGGCTCTTTTCCTTTATTTTTCTGGGCAGGAAATACAGCTTTTTCTTGACATTTTAGCTGTTAGAGCTGCATGGCACTCTGTCACTACCCTAGGGGCAAAGAGGCAAGAGAAAGAAACTGGGAAGCTCACCTCTTTGTCCTTCCCCACAGTCTGCCAGCTTTTTTTGTTGCAGGGGTAGAGTCTACTGGGAATTAAACTCAGGACCTCGAGCTTGCCAGAGAGGCACTATGCTGCTGAGTTATATCCCCAGCCCCTGCCAACTCTTATTTGCTTTTTGGAATCCTTTTCTAGGTGTTTTTTAAATGTTTCATCTGGAGTTCTTTGCTGTCATCAGTAGGGAGCAAGGATGATCTGTAATGGCTCAGTTGTACTACCACAGTTACCTCAGAACTCTCACTGTAGTTTCTGAAAAATATTTTTGCTGGTTATGACAAAATAGTTTGGGAGTCATTTTGTTGGGCACTTCATGTCTAACACCAAACTTTCTGTTCAGGTTCTTATTGTACCTCAAAGCTCCTTGCTGATTCACGTATCTGGATCACCTGAGGTTGTTTCCATTATGTTTTTCAGTCATGATCCTGTCTCTTGGCATAGCTATTTTTATTTATTTTTTAAAATTTAGTACACGGTCTACAGGGTAGTGATCCTCCTGTTTTCAGCCTCCCAAGCACTGGGATTACAGGCCTGCGCCACCCTGCCAGTCTCAGACTGCTACCTCAGCGCGCTCTGGGGGTGGGGCCGGCACTGCATGCTGGGGATTGAACCCCAGGCCCTGCATCTGCCTAAACAGGCACCGTAATCCACTGACCTATCTGGCCAGCCCCTGGCATAGCTACTATTAACTGGACAAATATTGGTATGAAAAATTGTAAGGATTTTAGATTCTTTATTTCTTTAGAAACAGTACACTCTTTCCTCTGCAAGATGAAGGAGAGCTATTTTAATCTATCCACAGACTGGAGTCAAACCTAGGCTGCAGTTTTGGTCAGGCTCAGTGGACCTACAGTCTGCCGCGCTCCTAAGTTCCTGCTGCCTTTGGGAGATAACGAACACTCGTTACTATGTTGCCAACACCAAGAGATTGACGAGAAATAACTGTCAGAGTTTTATGCTCATCTGTCTCAAGAAATATCAATATATAGAAAATGTCAAATGCCTTCTGGGAAAAAGTGGCTATAGAACTTTAGCTCAACTCTGAACTTCCTCTCTGAATCTTGCTTCTGCTGTCTAGCTGCTTTAGCAGTTGTCTGATGACTATACACAGGTACTTTCTATACTTCTCTAGAGTTTTGGTCCTGGGAGTATGAAAGTCTACCATGCATGCCTCCAGCCTAACAAGGCTGATAATTTCTGAAGGCATACTGTCCATCTAAAAAAAGGTGCACACTACCGGAAATTCTGAAACTTGGTCATAAAACTTTTACATAACATAAACTCTAACCCCAGCTATAAATCATTACTTTTCAAAGCATAACTAAAAGCAAAGGTTTAAATGAATTTTCCTTTCTATAAAGTCATTATTCTAGTTTAAATTCTGATGCTTGGGGCTGGTGAGATGGCTCAGTGGTCTAAAGCACCTACTTAGAACAAGCTTAGCAAAGCACAGGGACCGCGGTTCAATCCCCCAGCACCACATGCCAGCCAGCCCCGCCCCCTGGTGGGCTGAGCTGGCCACACACACACACACACACACACACACACACACACAAATAAATAAAATAAAAATAAAATAAAAATAAATTCTGATGCTTACAAACCTTACACATTCCATGAGTCCTTTTTATAAAGCTATGTTTATGGAAAATGGTTAAAACAGACATCTTTGCAAGTAAGACTTTCAATGGTGGTGGAGGATGTACGAAAGTGAAAGTAGCAAATACTAACAAAACTTACCTTGGATGATGTGGCATACATGGTGAATCTTGAGTACCACTTGCTGGCTTTCTCTGCAACTCCTTTTCCAGCAGTAAACATACTATGCCGTAGAACATCTAGTTTTGGTACTAGCAATGTATCTAAGTTAAATGAAGGTGCTGGATGGGTTAATGTATCTTGAGATCCTTCCCTAAATGGGCAAGTGGGTGAAAAAGCTGGAGAAGACCAGAGTCTATCTCTTGTTCTCTCCTCGCTTTTTGTGTAACTTTTAGATTTGATAAGTCTCACGGGTCTAGGAGAATTAGGAGGCAGGCTGGATCTTCTGCCTGCCTTGACCAATGTTGGGCTTTTTTTACTGGTCAATTTATCATCACATGCCCGTTGTAAATCAATGCTTGGTGTGCGACTTGTCAAAGGACTGCTCATGTTATTCATATACATTTCAATTTCTTCAGCTAAATCACGCTTAGCAGATGGCGTTGAGATGCTTTTGCTGTCATCCTCATCCTCCTCCTCTTCTTCTTTTTGCTGCTGCTGAGTCTCAGCAACCAAAAGGGAAAGGGGGTCAAATCCTGTTGCAACATCAGTTTTTTCAGAAGGTTTTACTGAAAAGCTGCTGCTCATTCGTTGAATCCTCCTGGGATTTTGTGGAGTAACATACCCCACTTTTGACCCATCTGCTTCACTGTCTAAGTCTTCTAAGTCAAAAATAACAGCAGAATCCACTTTATCTGCCAAACAACTAGGGCCATCCAAAGGTGTGTCATCATCACTAGATTCTTTCTCTAGACTGTTTCTTTTTGATCTTAAAGGCAGCTTTCCAATATCAAGACTGTTTGGCCTTGTGCTATTTGAGATAACATTTGAAAGAATTTTTGCATCAGCTCCTAATTTTTCAACTATATCTCCAGGGTTTGCTTCCTGATTAATTCTATTCAGCATTAATTCCATCAATACACCTCCATTAAAGTTCCGGTTTCTATTTCCCCAGGCCATTTGCTGCTGCAAATTAGCTTCATTGTCACTTTTATGTCTTTTCTTGAAACATCTATGTTGAATGTTTCCTGTTTTGCTTGTATCCCCAAGAGTTGACACTGAGAGCTGCTCAGATATGCTTTCTGAAAAAATGAGAAATATACTTTTAGCCACAAAAATCTAATGTGCAAATATAAGTGAGCTTAAGTATTTAAAGTTCTAGTAATGAATATGATCCTACAAGGCACTCACTGCCTTCCTGATACTTGATATATGCCACAGTGAGTACTTTCCTTACATTATCTACTGCAAACATTTCAACATTCTTATGAGTTAAGAAAAAATACTTGGATTTAAGTTGCCTAGAATTTTGATTCAGAGTTGTTTAACTATAAAAGTCTGCTAAATGTGCTCCTAGGCATTAGCATGTACTTCTAAAAAACTTAAAAAGACAACTGAGATTTATACTTAAGCCAAGTACAGTGGTGCACATCTGTATTTCTAGCTATCTGGGAGGCTAAGACATGAAGATCACAAGTTCAAGATCAGTGTGTGCAACTCAGTGAGATCTTGTTACAAAAATAAAAAGTCAGGGGGCTAAGGGATGTAGTTCAGTGTCAAAGCTCTTGCCTAATATGTGCATAGCCTTGAGTTCAATCTCTAGAATCACACACACGAGAGATTTACATTTAATAGTAATAAATGCACATTAATTCCACTAATTGGATTAAATAAATATAGTCATACAATTGTGGTTGTGCTAGATGAGCTTGAGATTCTGAGTCTTCTGCTTTTTAAAATGAAAAACAAATGGAGCCAGAGAAGAAAGTGATCGATGATGTAGAGTGTGCCTAAGGAGAGTC